ATTGACATTAAAAACAAGCTACCAACTTTCAAGGGTCTTGCTCGTTTTTGGGGGGGGAGGTCTTTGTCCAGTTTGTAGCAGCAATAGCCCTCCAAGTCCTGTGCCGTCCTCGGTAAGCGGACATCCACGTTTTAAGTCTTGAGGCAGTGCTTGCTTTATTTAGGGTAGTGGTCAGCAGCCGTTGATGGATAGATATCACGTTGACGATATCCCCGCGATAACAGTGGAAATTCAGAATGACCCTCGCGGAAAAACTCAATGAATTATTGAGATAGTCTAGCTCCTCATAACATGTAATAAAAATATAAGAGAAAACGAGAAAGAAACATGAAGCTTCGTAAAACATTCACAACAACAGACAAAAAGAAGAGAAAGAGACAAGAAACATCCAGAAGAGAACAGTAACAACTACACGAGAGTAGTAAAGATGAGAGCATAAATAATTAGGAAGAAATAGTGTTGTTGGCGTTGTGCTTCTGCTGCGTGTACAGAGGTGTGGAGAAGAGTACTCAGATCTGGTATTTGAGTAAAGTAGGAAGAACCGGAGTGTAGTAAAATCCTGCATCCAAGTTATCCAAGTAAAAATACAACAAAGCATGTTCTCAAAGCTGTTAAAGGTGCAGCTAGCTTTAATGACATTGTATACTTATATCACGGGCTGTAAGTGAGCTTATTGCTTTATAAAACGGTTACCAAGTGTATTTTCATTAGTAAATAATGATGTTCAAAATAAAATAGTCCCTCCGTTGCCTTCTGCACAAAACATCGTGCGATGGTGGTTGCTATGCAACAACAGCTAACAGCGAGCGGAACATATAGACAGAGAGCGCGTTGATCGATTATTTGCATTTATTTACATTCATTCGCTGTATGTTGCCATTTATTGTGCACCCACTGAAAAACTGCCAGCATCAGTTAGAATGGCGTACGAGGCTAATTGTATAGGTGAGGTTGTAGAGGCTGTTGCTTGGCGTGGGTGGCGAGAATATTGGCTCCACTTTCTCCGGTCCCCGAGATTCCTTTCAGTAGATCGGAGAGAGAAGCTTTCGCACCCTGTGGGCCACAAACGTCATCGCATCAGAAGCTTGTGAATGGTGGTCCGGACGCGGAGGGATACTGACTTGTTGTGAAAAAGCTAACTACATTCTACCCGGTGGTATCGCTCGTATACTCGGCTAAGAACCCAATCAGATCTGCTTTGATTTGACTTGTCCGTTTATAATGCAGGGTAGCTTGTGAATTTACTCAGGGTGTGACTTAAGTCTGTTGATTATATCTCACATTATTGATCCAGAATCGGCAAAGAGTAACAAAGGTATTAAATAGATACAGTAGTGGAATAAAAGTACACGATTTAGGCGTACTACTTTGAATTGTTAGTGGTGTAGAAGTACCAAGAGTAGCAAAACATTATATACTCAAGAAAAGTACAAGTACTCGAAATTGTACTTGTCTGTTAACCATACTGTAATGAATACAGGCGTGTGGAGGGGAGCGCTGAGCGGGCAGGCAGCCCACAGGACCTCTTCCCACTTCGATCTGCTAGAAAAACGCAGGGAACGCCAAGGAACCTGGGACAACGAGAAACCAGAGAGATGCAGAGGAAGTAGGTTAACAGGAAACTAACGATACTTACGATTAACTTATACAGCAACACCTTCTTAAATATCCAAGCCTTTTTCGTGGCATTTTATTTTATTAAAAAACACAAACAACTGATATGCCAACATGGTCTGATCATTGCTGGAGATTAAGGATTATTCCCTTTTTATAAATGACAAACATTTTACTTGCCTTTGAAACTTCACTCTTACTTTTTTTTAAATCAAAACCACTATATCGCATTTTCTGTTGTGTTTACTCTATCCACCAAGAAATATATCCCATATTTTCTAACCACATACAATACTATGATCTTCCACTAATGTACCCACAACAAAAACAAAACATTTAGTAAATATTTAAGACCTTGAGCTCTGGGAAGTATCCCATCAGTATTCTGTAATTGTGAATTCGGTCTCGGCAGTTTTTCTCCCAGGGTATCTGCTTAACCAGAGTGACATCGATTCTAAATCCATATATTTGTAATTCCTTCCATAATAGCAATCGTGTTAAAGCTATTATTAACCAATTGAACGTGTTAGCCAGTGTTGATGTTTCCCGACGCAGTTTCAACGTTTCTGACTTAATGCTCACTGTCCTGACTTTACCATCATAAAATGTTCCCAAGTGTGTGTCTCATATAGGAACCTGGAGAATTTGCAAACAGCGTGAAGATGAGTTGCAGGAGAAGTTAAGAAAGCCTACAAAGATGAACCTCAGCTCAGAGAGAAGATTCTCAGGACAGTGAAGGACCCATCTCACACACAATTCCTGTATGAACTGGAGCTAACGTGTATTGGGTCTCACTCTTAAACTAGAATCTCTCCATCTCCCTCCCGCAGGACCAGGCCTCACCTGAAATGTTCAGAGGGCAGTAAAGAGGAACGGAAAGAGGTTCTTCCATCTGGATGCAGACTATAAGAGGCTGGTGGTGGAGTTAGCTGAAGAGCTGCGGAGCAGACAGGAGCGAGAGCGGCCAGCTAGTGGAAACTCAAACCGTACGCTTGTGAGCTTCGAGCAGGCGGCCAGTTGACAGGTACTGCAAGGGATTCTTTTAGAAATAGAGAATCTAATTAAACAGGTGTTTATTGTACAGGAATAGTACTGTGTGTGTAATCATAACAATTACTTTATATAAGTGTTGATCTTCTAAATCTTGTCTCTTGATGATGTCCTCAACAGTATTCACGACACATGTGCATCTTGTTGTGTGGGAAAAGCCTTTCTGTCTCATTCTTCCTCAGGTTATCGCTTTATTTAAAAAAATACGTCCTGTAATATGATGTGTGCAGGTGTGGTCCATAAGTGTTTTCGATTGTGTGTTTCTTATGTGTGTGTGTTACCAGTTTAGGACGCAAAGAGCCTCGCGAGATCATATGGAAGAACCTCTCCGCATTCGAGAGACTCTCCTTCAGCAGGACCTGAGAAGCGGGAGTATGACGAGCTGAGGAGAACCCCTGCAGCAAACCAAGAACAGCATGCCTCATGCGTCTGCAGAGAACTACGAGCGTTCCCAGATGGAGGGTGGAGCATGAGAAAACACGCTCTGGAGTTCTGGAATGGGTACGGAGAGCTGACGGGTCAAAGTCCGGCATCAGAGCAACACACCAAATCAAATGGTGATCTTCTGCGTGTGAAATTGAAGTTGTCCCTGTCCCCACACAGGAGAGGAAGTGGAACCGATTCGGGAAACCGCTCAAAGAAAACACTTCCCTGGACAAATCAAGATGCGACACTGCACCTCTACGAAAAGACGTGTCAAGACGAGGAAGCAGATGAAGCGGTTGATATAAACGACACAGAGAAGCAGCTGGACCAGGTGTGTGCCCCAACAGAGCAGAGATGGAGGTAAAAAGCAGACAGAAAATATCATCTTATCACTTAGTCTCCTCAGGTTAAGACGTTCCTTCAAGACTCCGACGACATGGTCAAACAATATCAGACTTCTTCACAGAGACAAGATGGAAAGAAAAGGGACAAAAAGAGCTTTCCAAGTCACCGTAAAAAAAAGGCTTCAAAGTAACCTTTACCATGAGTCTCCTCACAGCTTTAGAACTGAATTTGCTGAGATGGAACTAAATAATTAAAGTGTGTTTATATAATGTTAAACTCTGTGAGTTTCATTACCTGTGAACTTGTAGACACTGAACTTCAATAAACTTGAGCACTGAGTGCAATAAACTATTGTCCATTATCATTATCATTGTTAGTAACATGGCTTGATTCTAAATTCTGAAATGGTTCTGATAGGGCTGCTCAATTAATCTTATTTTAATCGCAATTACGATTATGGCTTGCAACGATTACGAAAACAACGTAATCGAAATATAACGATTGTTTTTTTGGTTTTTTTCAGTTCAGTTATACTTAAAGTACAGGGTAATCAACTGTTCAAAACATACTGTTCAAAAACAAATTCTCCAGTAAATGGATAATCGTGATATCAATTATTGAACCAAATAATCGAGATTATGATTTTTGCCATAATCGAGCAGCCCTAGGTTCTGATAGTGGTAGCTAAACATTTGATTGTGACGACAATGAATCATTCAGAACAAAAGGTCCTGTACTGCCCCCTCGTGGCTATTAAAGAAAACAGCAATTGGTGTTAACTTATTTTAGCTGATTTTTTGAAGGAAAGCTTTGCTGGGGATTTTCCAGGTCATTTAAATCCATGTCCTTACAAGAGATATAAAGGTGTGTATATCAACAGGTGCATCTGTGGACATCTGCATAATCTGATAATGTTTGCAGCAAGACATTATATACATTTAACAAACCAACGCAGTCCTTTGTATTGTGTCTTTAAAACATCTGTTTGAATTTAAAACATAGAACTTCATTAAAAAAATAACATATACATGACAAACACACTCTGAATGTGAAGTATAATGGTATTTGCTCAACAGAATCTTTATATATTTTAAATAAAACATCCAAAGACATTCATTCAGGTAGGGTGTGTCCTTGTGCATCTGAGTAATTAAAGCAGTCAGCGGCTTATTTGGTCTTTTTGCCTTTTCCTTTTTTGGCCTTCTTACTTTTGCCCTTGTTTTTTAAGGCCTTGCGAGTACTGTAGCCTCTCCACCAAGCTTGTGCCATAATTGCAGCTTTGGTCTTTAGCTCCAGCTCCTTCGCCTCCAACTTTCTCTTCTCTTCTGCCAGCCGGCGCTTCTCTTTGATCTGGTTGCACTCTACCTCTAGGACAGAGAATAGTTTCTCCAGTGTTTTCAGCTCCCCGTCCTCCTTTTCATAATCCATTCTGGTCAAATCCAGTTTAGCCTGAGACATGGGACGGTGGCAGTTAAAGTAAAATCAGAAATGTGATAAAGTGTTTTGAAACATTAGCCATTTGAGCATCCTGAAATCACAGACAGCGTCATTTAGGTATACATCCTTTTATGCCATGCTGTAAGGCCATCATTTTTGTTTGTGTTATACAATTGGGGAATGTATTTCAAAGCAAAGACACACAGATTGGTGTTTTATAGCTTAAAAATTTGATAAATACAACATAAATTGACACATATTTGGATAATTGATTATTCAGTTGTTTTATCAAGTAAAAATAGCAAATAACCTCTGGTTTCAGCTTCTTTTATGTGAGGATTATCTGCGTTTTATATTATTATATGATCGAACAGGATGACACATTTACAAAATATCCTCAATCAGGGTATAGAGACTGGCCAAAACTAAGCGGAGAAAAAGGAAAAAGCTTGTAAATGGACTCTGTGTTCAGATTATTTTGTTAAACTATCCTATCTGGGGTCAAGACCAGACTGCATGTTTAACACCCTTAATATAGCCTCACAGGCACAAGAGCTTTTATCCAGAGTATACACATACTGTATATCTTTCCAGTTATTTTTGGCACTTGGTAGCGGCACGTTTGTCTGAAATGGTACCTGTTTTTCTTCCATCTCCGTGTCAAAAGTATAAAGCAAGTTTTCAATTTCTGTCTCCACCTTTTCAATTTTCTGCCAAGGAAAAAGAACAGAGAGCGTTATGTTATAATAAAAAATATATTTGTACGTTTATTGTGATGTGTTAGATACACTAAACATACCTCTTGGATTACTCTCTCTGCCTGCCTGTTTTCAAAGATCAACTTGCTGAGCAGAATGTTCGGTTGATCAATAGCTTGTGTTTTACCGGCCTTCTTCCACTTTGATGCAGTATGCACCTGGCTCTGCTGGACCGGAAGAAGTGAAATACCTGCCTTACGTCTCTTGTTATCTTCCAGATAATCTTGGCAGCTTTTGATTTCTTCCTTTTTGTCAAAGATCTGTGATGCAAAAACAACGATGGGAGAGGTGAGATGATAAAAGGGGCAAACATATGATGCCTTAATGAGATGGCTCTTTCTTATCTAGCTACATTTAAGCAAGTTATACATTTCTTAGATTAGACTTGTTTCATGAGGGTCTCTTTTTTTCAACATTCAATGTATTGCCTCACCTCTGCATCTTGTTGCTCCAAGGATATTGCTTGTTTTTCTTGCTTTAAAGCTAAGATCTCCAGACGGTGGTTTTGGTATGAAGACTTTTGGAGATCCAGCTGATCATGTAGCTCCTCCTCCACACTGGTCAGCAGCGTTTCAACCACACAGCTCTGAAACTTCTCAAGCCCTGTAATTAGTTTGTACTCACTCTCCCCTACAGCGAGCGTCTTACCTAGCTCTGCCTTCAACCCAGAAATGGCATCAGCATGGGCTCTTGCCAGCCTTAACAGATCCCTCAAAGAATTCTTGATGTCCTTCTCAAGTCGAGCCATGGCCTTACCAACTTCTCTCCCTTGTTCCCCGTCTGACCCCTGCATGAGACATTCAAATGTCTCCAGTCTTTTTTCTAATAGTTGATGCTCCTGAAGAGCCATACTCAAGTCCTTGTCCGCCACACTAGAAAGAGTGTTTAACTGGAGGAGAGCAGGCAGCATTGCTACAAACTCAACTCCACTAATGCAGTTTTCCAACATGTTTAAGATGCGTTTAGCTTCAAGGGAGAGCGGCGTCCTCTGTGGCACTTCATTGTTCTCTGGAGCTTCTTCTAATTGGGTCTTTGTCTTTCCCAGCACTGTGGACCTCTTTGCAGACATACTGTCACTAAATGGTAGGAAAACAGTCAAGAAAAGCAAAAGATTAATGTTGTAACCTTTAGATACTGAGATACAATATTGGCTTACAATATTATCCCCATTAGTGGAATGTAACTATTTACTTCAGTACTGTTAGTACCATTTTAAGGGACTTAAATATATATATATATATTGACATATAAACTAGTAAAGCTCTTACCTGTCTACTTGTTGGTCTCAGACGAAAACTATTGTTTACATGTTGCTAAGATACCACCCTAGACAAAACACTGGCACATCTAATTGGGGAAAAAAACATGATCAACCTATGGTCTTTTTTGAATATATAATTAATTGTGAAAACATAAAAAGACTTAATTGTTTTAACACATGTTTTTACAACATTGTTTTAAAATGATTGACTTTTATTTTGAAAGGTTGGCAACTCTGCCGGCTGCCCTGCTGCCGTGAAATGTTTCGGTGTCGCGAATGTTTGTTGATACCACAGTATCATCAGTGCTGTAGAGCTTTCTTTTAGTGTCGTTGATAAGTGTCAGATAGTGTTGTTTGAGGAAGGATTTATCTTTATCGATAGAGAATCGGAGGACTTATTTGTAGGTTTGGTGTTATCAGAACATCTGTTATCCAGCATTAAAGCTTTGTGATGATGCAACCGTGATGCAAACAGACAGCGGTTAGTGATCCAGTGGATCTGACAGGATAACACCATCAACCCGCGGGCCCTGTCAGCTGCTAACAACCTAAAAGCTGCGAGTTCCTGTTTTCAATGACTTATACTTAGCTCTGTCTCAGTTAGCATCGCCTGAAAAGTCCTCTGTTTGTTTGCTAAACAGCGAGCACCCAAGATGTGTCTTTGCGGAACAAACCGCGCACTTATTTAGCCTGTGGGTGGATTAGACAACTCTATTTACATTAAGCCTGTTTATCTGCTAACATGGAGTCAGACGACGATGTGCCTCTCATCTTAACATGGGACGAAGCAAACAGCGGTCTGCTCAGCGAGGAGACCGAGAGAGGAGACGAAAGTGAGTTGTGTCATATCCCCACAATGCAGACTATTGTTTGGTCAGGCCCATGACCGTGGACACTCGTGTTGCTAATACCTGCCATATTCAGTGTTAAGTCACTAAGTAGATTTACTCAAGTACTGTACTTAACTACCATTTTGGAAGACTTCTACTTCAATTTTTTGTGAGTTTAAACTTTTACCCCACTACAATTCAGAAGTAAATCATGTTCTTTCACTCGACTACATGTATTTAATATCATTAATATTATATCTAATGTAAAACTAGCTTCACCTCTACCAGCTTTTATTAACACCAATGCATCAATAATTATAATCAAAACATATAATATATTATTCTGAAAAGCGCATAATGAGTACTTTTACTATTGGTTTTTTAAGTATATTTTGATGCTAATACCTTTGTACTTTAACTTGAGTAATATTTTGAATGCAGGTCATATACTTGTAACAGAGTATTCCTACACTCTGGTACTTCTACTTTAACTTAAGTACAATATCTGAGTACTTCTCCCAACTTCTTATTATAATAATATAATATTATGGCAGAGTTTAAGATGTTGGCCTAGAATTAAAGTCAAAATCCCTCTGAGCATATTACCATCTTTGCACTCTATCTCCCCTCCATGAAGATTATCAGGGTTTAAAATCAAGTGTTTCCTCACTTACCACTGTGGCAGTTTACTTAACATTCCTACCTGTCGCACAATATCATATTTAAGTCATATTATGCTATGTCACCAAAAACACACCTTACATCCTTTGTATTGTGTTAATACAAAGTCATAGTATGAATGTATATATATAATATGTCGTATATATGTCTTGTGTGCGATACAAAAAATGATGTCATATCAAATATAATTTCATTAAAAAGATCCTAATGTATGCACAAATAAAAGTCATAGATTAGTATGTCGTAAACAAATCTCATCGTGTTGTACAATGTTAAATTATTGTCTAAAATCATTTTAGGTGTCGTTGGTGTTTTATTCTATGTTTTGGCTCCATTGTTTTGTATTCATATAACTGCAAAGTGTTATTTATACAGTAGAAGAGTATTTAGTATTTTTGTCTAGGCTATTATTGCAGTATATGTTGTGAAGGTAAAGCTTGTCTACTCACCAGATGAGCACTAGCCGGGTCATAGCCGTTTAATGTTGTTTACAGTCAGTTGCATACATTCTGCACTTCCAGGCCCTGCTGCTGTAACGGAGAGAAGAGATTGTCCACTATGCTTGGAGGTCACGTGTGTGCGTGTGCGTGTGTGTGTGCGCTCAAAGTACGTATGGGTATCCATGCATCAACCCAACATAATAATCCTGCTGCCTTTGTGTTCCTCACATACAAGCTACAAAATGACCCGTCTGAGAACCTGCTGCCTCAGCACACCGGTGCACCCCCTCCACCCCCCCCGCCCCTCCCTGGTGCTCATGGACCGCATGTGTGTGTTGTGTGTGAATGTCTGCAGCCTGTGTGTAAGTGTGTTTGTGTGTGAGCAAACTGAAGCATTTACTCTTGCTCTGGAGCTGAAGAGGAAGAGGGGAGAAGTTTCTTTTTTTGTCCTCAGGATATTTGGTGGTGGTGGACAGACAGGGAGGAAGTATCATACTGTTCTTTCTGATTGTTGTTGGAGCTTTCTGCCAAAAGAGGGAGTTTGAACCTGGACACTGAGAACGAAGGCTGGATTGTATCCCTTCAGTGACAATTCACTTGTGGAGTTCAGTTTAACTGCTGGTGGTCAGGACCCTTGAGATCACCACAAAACTAGATTGTATTTGTCCTACTGCTGAGCCTATTTGTGCTTCTGGGTGCCTGACCTCAACGTGTTTTTGACTGGGACAACATATTATTGTTCTCTAACAAATGAGGGGTTGAAACACGGTGTTCTTCTGTCAGGATAACAGCCAGGCTGGACTGGAATCTGACCTTCACATCTCAGCTGCTGCTGTCTTACAGGAACAGTGTGTGACTGCTTTTCAGAGACTCATTTCATGTTTTGTTCCAAGGACGTGTGCAGAAGCCGAGACATGTGATGCACAGTACACGTGAAGAACACCCAGATAGACTCGCATAGGATTGAAGTATGCAGCTGCTGGAAGACAAATGGAGGGATTGCTTTTTTGAAGAAAGAAACTGATTTATACTAAAGAAGGATCTTGCTTTAATCTATAATTTCAAGTTATGAGATAAAATAATAATTGTAATTCTTCATTCTGATATGCTACTGCTTTTTCAGTGTTGTTAGATATGTAGATGTCATCCCTGTCTTTTGAAGTTAGTCATTCTCCTTGTTGTATCACATAATTCCTCTTTTTGGTTGATCTGAGTGGTGCCTGTATCCTGTCTATGCCAGGAAGGGGACGGTTTAGACAAAGTGAAATCAGTGCAAACACGGCATTTTCTTACTGACTGTATGCACGGGGTTGAAAGTTCAATCTGTGTGGCTATGGCAGTAACATTTTACTGTCACTGGTATCTCTCATTAAGGCGATTGTAAAAGTCACTTTTTTTTTATAGAAGCAAACAATTGTCAGAAAATAACGTTTGAAGCGCTGTCAACAGCTTTAAAAGGTGTTTTGTTTCCAGTGTCACTTTGATCCCCCGTTTTAGTTTGAATATTCCTGGATCTGTAAGGACTCTCATCCTGACTTTGTGTCTGGAGTTTGAATCAGGCCTGGAATGTTTGGCCCTTAGTATCTCCAGATGTGTGTGAATGCTGGAACAAGACCAGTGCGCTGTGAATGACACACACACACACACACACACACACACACACACACACTTGTGCTGTGGGACTTTTATTCATTCATAAAGCAGCGATACTCAGACAAACTGATCAATGGAGTGCATATGCGGACAGGCAGCTGATTCCCATGAAGATCAGACTCACAGCGGGACTCCAGTAGTGATCTCCTCGTATGGCTTACAGCTAGAACTAGACTGCATTGGTAGGACCCTCTGTGTCTGTGTGTTTGTGTAACCCATACTGGAAACATATTGGAACAACTTCATTGTTATTTTGTTCTTTTCCACATCATGTACTAATACACTGACACTTACGTGTTTCTCCCAGATGGAGGAGGAGGAAATTACGACATAGTGAACAATGCTGTGATCTCAACGCCCGGGCCACAACTCCACAGAGCCCAAAATGCGTCCTTGCGGCAGAGCTGGGAGATGAACTTCCAAGAGGCGGCCATCTACCTGCAGGTACCCAGGAGCAGTGAAGTGTGTCATGTGATAGACTGCTGAGTCCACATGGTTATGTAATGGTTTTTATTGCATCCTCCTCTCTACTACATGTGATGGGTAAACTTTGTGCTCATTCAAAGTATATATAAATAAAGTAGTGAAATAGGGAAGCTCAAATTAGGAATTTCAGGGTAAAATCATCTTATTGTTTGTAATTCATTATAGTTTTAAGGAGTTGCACAGTTCATGTGTAATGATGTTAAGTGTGTTTTTATAGGTATTGTTTTACATTTAGTGTTTTGCCTCAAAACGAATTGTGTCTATTCTTCAGGCCTGACAGTGTTTTGAATGCTTGACGATGTTTAAAACACTATAAATTGGTCATTGCTTGAACTCATCTTCACTGCCTTTGTTGGCACATTACCGCTACCTACTGGTGATGAATCAGTTTGAATCAACCCGCCTTCTTGTGTGCATACACACTTGTTTGTGGAAACAAAACTGAGATCGTAAAAATGATTGCTCTATACCAGGGGTGTCAAACTCAAGGCCCGGGGGCAAAATCCGGCCCGCCACTTCATTTTTTGTGGCCCACAAGAGCTTGCAAAGAATATAATACGTTTATGATACGGTTACGTGCCGCTTTACAGGAGCACGTTGCCCATAAACTACATGTCCCACAATGCATCTCATTTTGTGAGATGCCACTGAAGAGACTTGCAATTACTTGCAATTATTTGCCC